ACCCAATAAAACCACGCTACCAGCGCTTGGTCACATCGGCCCCGAGGTCAGATCCTTCTACTCTGTTGATGACAAGACTTGTCTACTGGCTGGAGCCGAGCAGGAGAGCCCAGCGCACAACCCCTGGTCAACTCAGGGTCCACACCCCGTACCCGCCCGTAGAGTAGTCTCTACTAGCACCGACTTCCCGAATGGTTACGGTTGGTTAGAGGGCAGATTTGGAGAGATCTCGAGGAGTACAAACAGATAGACCCTCCAACCATCAGAAAACTCCGACCTGATCGGTCGTAATGACCGCCGACAGAGCCGCAGCCCTCCTCGCATTCCTACTCGTCCGAGTTGCTGCCCGAATCACTGTCCTCTCCGTCAGAGGAAGTAGGCGTCGGCGGCCGGCTCGCCCACATCTCGACCTTCTTGGGCAGCAGCCGGTTGTGCCTGTTGCCGTGGCCTAGCTGGCCGTAGTCTCCACCGCCCCAGCTCCAGACAGCGCCGTCGGCAGTGAGGGCGAGGCTGTGGGTTCTAGCCGAGACAGCGGCCACGCGCTGGCCAGCCAAGGCCTCGATCTTCTTGGGCGCGAACTGGCGCTCTTGGTCGCCATGGCCCAACCTGCCGTAGCCTCCAGCGCCCCAGCTCCAGACGGCGCCGTCGGCGGTGAGGGCGAGGCTGTGCTCGCCTCCCGCCGACACAGCGACGACGCGCCGACCAGCAAAGGCCTCCATCTTCTCGGGCAGCAGCTGGTTCTGCTCGTCGCCGTGGCCCAACTGGCCCCCGCCTCCAAAGCCCCAGCTCCAGACGCCGCCGTCGGCGGTGAGGGCGAGGCTGGTACTGTAGCCAGCCGACACAGCGACGACGCGCCGCCCAGCGAAGGCCTCGACCTTGTTCGGCAGCAGCTGGTTCTGCTCGTCGCCGTGGCCCAACCGGCCAGAGGCTCCCCAGCCCCAGCTCCAGACGGCGCCGTCGGAGGTGATGGCGAGGCTGTGCGCGCCTCCAGCCGACACGGCGACGACACGCTGGCCGGCAAATGCCTCGATCTTCTTCGGCAGGAGCTGGTGTTGCGTGTCGCCGTGGCCCAACCGGCCATGGTACCCATTGCCCCAGCTCCAAACAGCACCGCCGGCGGTGAGGGCGAGGCTGTGGCTGCCTCCTGCCGACACGGCGACGACGCGCTGGCCAGCCAACGCCACGATCTCCTTGGGCAGCAGCTGGTCCTGCTCATCACCGTGGCCCAGCCTGCCAAGGGCTCCATAGCCCCAGCTCCAGACACAGCCATCAGCGGTGAGGGCGATGCTGTGGCTGCCTCCTGCCGACACGCTAACGGCCAGCGGAGAAGGGAGGCGGGTGGGCGTGTTGAGCCGCGTCACGCCCTCGCCATGACCGAGTAGCCCTGGATAGCTACTCAAAAACCCTGCCTCACTGCCGCACGACGAGAGCCGCCCCTCGCCGTCGATGAAGATGCTGTGCCGATCGCCTCCCGCCGCCCTCGCCGGCGGGTTGGACTCGCACAGCAGCGCCGAATAGCACAGCCACCGAACGGCGCAGCTCTCGCCCTCTGGCTGCGCCGGCAGCTCGTAGCCGCGCTCTTGCGCCCGCAAGCGGATGCCCTCCTTCGCAAGCGAGGCGTGGAAGAGGAGCGAGACGGCCGCGACGCAAGCGATGTCGAGGGGGTCGCAGCGAGAGACGACGCGCACGAGGAGGTCGGTGGGGAGGTCGAGCAGGCGGGCGGGCCGCTGTGTGTCTGTTGAGGGAGCGGCGGCGGCGGCGAGGCGGCGCGAGCGGCGGCGCGGCGGGGTGGACATCGCGAGAAAAAGAATTTACGGGGAATTCTCTCTCACAGCCTGGTCAGCCGTCACGATGCACCCGAAGGGGACCGCAGCGCCGGCTTCATCCGTGAAGGCACAAGTGTTCGAAGAGAGAGTGGACCTGAGCAATGATATGACTGGGTGGCAAATGATCGCAGTGGGCGTCAGAAGACTCGTCCTTGCGCGAGGAGAGCTCGATAGACTCGAGGGGCCAGGATATGCAGCGAGGAGGGCGGAGCTGCGCCGAAAGGCAAAAGAAGCCGCGAGAACAAGGGACCGGCAGGCGGCGGCGGCGTCGCAGAACGAGACAGAGGAGAGCGACGCGACAGAGGAAGAAGCGACAAGGGAGAGCACGACGAGAAGGGGGCGACCGCGAGGTGGCACGAAGGTCGCAGCGAGAATCGGAGAGAGACTGCGAAGAGAGATAGGAAGAGGCGGACGCCCAAGGGTGGGCGACGGCTAGTGCACCTAGAAAGAGAGTTTCCTCCCTCCAAAAAACAACAAAGTTGCTTCTGCAAAGGTGGCGGCGCCGAGCGACTGCTGCAGGGCGGCGAGACACTGAGCTCCGCGCACTCGCACAATTATATTTACAACGGTCGTGCGTTCAAGTGACATACAATTGACAACGGCTGGACAACGGGAGCCCCCCCCCCCCCCCCCTCACCCCCCAAGGCTCAGCGAACCGAGAGAGAGAATTCTTGATACGAAACCACGACGACACACACCAGTCGACTCGCATCGGTTGCCTCCATGAACGGCGGAGCTATTCTCGCGCCCACACCACACCTGGCTCCAACGTGGACACGCCCATAGCTGGGGACACTACTAGGTCACGCATGGCATCACAGAAGTTTTATCTCTGGGCCCCGAAAGGCATCTCTAGCAGTGTCGTTACACATGCCCCCTCCCCTCCTGGGCGCATGCGCCTCACGTCTCGCCAGAGCATAAGCCCTTGGCGTGTGGCGAGACGAGTTTTTCGCCATCGCCGCGAGCAGCAAGCCGCCCGCCGCAAACAGCCGGAGGCCTCGCCGCGGCACTGGCTGCGCCGCGGTCCCGCACCCGTCGACGCAGCTCCCCCCGCGGAAGACCGCGCGTAGCGACGTCATGACGATCGAGATGAGCGTGCCTGAAGCTCGCCCACCTACTGCCCCTGAGAGTTGGTTACGAGTGGGATCAGCTCCCCCCCTTGGGATCAAAGCTTCCACGACCTCGCACCCAACATCTCAGGCGGGATCAGAAGGGGACTCCACACCGGACACCGCCCGGGCACAGCCCCCCTACCCGTCGGATCGCACAGAGGGCCCCCTCGGAGCAGCCCACACACAATCACGCATCGGCAGATTGAGTGCCTGAGTCAGGCAGACAGCACAGACAAGGAGAGGAGAGAGAGGAGAGAGAGAGAGAGAGAGAGAGAGGAGAGAGGAGAGGGTGAGGGTGTGAACACACGTGATGAGTGGGGAGGGTGTCTGTGGTGGGCTATAGTCATACTACGTGGTTAAAACCACGCGCCCCTCAGGAGCTAAGGTAGAGTGGTTGGGTGTCAAAACACCGGGTCGGCGCCAGGCTCAGACAGCCTGTCGCACGACGGGTTGACTGCGAGGCAGTCCGAGCACGAACTAGTCGTCGATCCGCTGACGATCCCCGCCGCTTCACCGCCGGAGCGGCGGCGGGTGAGAGTTAGTCAAAGGTCCACCAGCACAACCTCCAGCTACCAGCCTCCGCCTCCACCGTCGAGCCGCCACCGCTGCCGCCCGCGACGCCGCCCGCCGCGTCAGATAGCCGCGACGCGCGCACCGAGTCGAGTCGGAGAGCCGCTCCGCACCAGCAGCAGCATCTGCACCACCAGCAGCAGCAGCAGCACCACCACCACCACCATAGAGAGAAGCGCGCCTGCCCGACGCCGCCCGCCGCGTCAGACGCTCGCGACGCGCGCGTCGAGCCCAGTCGCAGAGCCGCGCCGCGCCAACAGCAGCATCTGCACCAGCAGCACCACCACCACCACCAGCAGCAGCAACAGAGACAGGCAGTGCGGGCGCAGAAGCTCTCTCTCTCAGCGAACCTACCCCCCCCCCCCCCCCCCCGCGCGCGCGTCCCGCAGGCTCCACTCTACAGCCAGAGGGTGGGCAGAGGATGTCACATGTCCCTCTGGCCGCTTCCAGGCGCTGCACTACGTGGACGGAAGGCAGGCCTCCCTCGGCTCCTTCGGCACGGCGGTGGAGGCGGCGGTGGCCGTTGCGTGGGCCATGATGAGCGACGAGGAGGATGCGGTCTCCTGCCTCTGGGTCGCTTGCGACCGTTGCGACAAGTGGCGGCGGCTGCCTAGCGGCATGCCAGGCCCGCTCCCTGCCGAGTGGTTCTGCTGGATGCACCCGGACTCGGCGTGCCGGGTGTGCGAGGCGGTGTGGAGGAGGAAGTTGGGCCGGGGCGGGCGCCATCTGAAGGCCAAGGGGCAGCGGTCGCGACGGAGGCGGAGGGCTTGCGCTTGCACCTCTCCAGCAGCAACAGCACCGGCTACAAAAGGGCGTGCAAGAGTTGTACTCTGGCCGCTTCCGGGCGAAGCGCAAGGTGGACGGCAAGGATGTCTACCTCGGCTACGTCGACACAGCAGTGGAGGCGGCGGTGGCGTATGCGCGGGCGGTCGGGGAGTACCAGCCTCCGACTGTGGTGGCGGAGGCGGAGGGCTTGCGGTTGCACCTCTCCAGCAGCAGCAGCACCGGCTACAAAGGCGTGACTGAGCTCGCCTCTGGCCGCTTCCGAGTGCAGCGCAAGGTGGACGGCACCTTCGGCACGGCGGTGGAGGCGGCGGTGGCGTACGCGCGGGCGGTTGGCGAGGCGGCGGCGGCAGGAGAGGCAGGGCCGTCGGCAACGGCGTCGGGCGAGGCGTCCGACTCGGACGAGGGCAAGGCAGGCGGCGCTGGCGGCGAGGCTGCAGCCGCCGAGAGTAGCAGCGAGGAGGAGGTGGAGGCTGCCTCGCCGCCCCTCCGCGCTCCGAGCTGCAAGACGCTCGGCTGCAGCCTCCGCCTCTGGCACGAGGGGCCTTGCAGCACCGCCGTCACAGGCAAGCGGGCGCGGGTTCTCACCGACAAGGCGCGGGAGGCGAAGCGAGGCAAGGGCACGGGCGGCGGCGGCGGCGGCGGCGATGACGGTGCGATGCCATCCTCCTCGAGCGACGCCGCGCCCTCGGCGCCCGACGCGAGCGTTCAACGCGAGACGGCGGGGGAGGAGGGAGAGGACGACGAGGTGGAAGTGGAGGTGGAGCAGGAGGAGGCGGAGGCGATGAGCGAGGACGAGGTGGAGGAGGTGGCGCCGCCGCTTCAAAGCCTCGCCGCCGCCGCTCCTTCGCTCGCAGACGGCGACGTGCAGATCTCCGCACGCTCTGCCCGCTCCACCCCTTCCATGCGGCGGAGAGGCCGGTCGCGGCGCCCGTCGATGGCAACGAGGCGGCCTGCCCCAACTGCTACTGCTTCGCGTGCGACGCGCCCGTGTCCGCGTGCCGCCACTGGCGGGGCGGCGAGCCGAGGGTGCCGGCGCACTGCAACGCGCACGCCGGCAGCGCCGAGTGGCGCACGCAGCGCTCCAACGCCAAGCGGCAGCGCACGCGGGCGGCGCGGGCGGCGAGGGACCCGCTCGGGCTGGGCTCGTGATCGAACACTGCACGCGCTTTTGCCGCAGCCGGAGCCGCCCGTCGCTCGGTGTGGGACACAGTGGTACTTGCCTCTTGCCTCGCCCCGAAACGGCGTCTCAGCCGCCACTGCTGCACCCATCGCACCCGTCGCAGCAACAAGGTTGGCGTCGGCGTCGGCAGCGGCAACGTCCGCAGCTGGATCCAGACCGAGCTCTGCACCGGCAGCTACGTCCAGAGCGGCAGCGATGCCAGCATCTGCCTCCTCCACCCCCTCTGTGGCCGTCGCGTGTCCCACCCCCTCCATTGCCTCGCCGTGTCGATCAACGGTCCACTGTGTCCATGTTCATTACCCCTACACTGCAGCGCGTCTCTACCCGCCTCCTTGTCCATTGCCTTGCCGTGTCGATCAACGGTCCACTGTGTCCATATGTTCATTACCCCTACACTGCAGCGCGTCTCTACCTGCCTCCTTGTCCATTGCCTTGCCGTGTCGATCAACGGTCCACTGTGAACGAAGCAGCAGCAGCAGCAGTAGCAGATGAAGCACCAGATGAAGGTAAGGTAAGGTAAGGTAGATTTCTCCACACACACAAGTGGTGGGGCAAGGGGGGGCGACCCTCGCATCTCCACGCCCGGACACGGGCAGGAGCCCCACGGCATTCAAAGTGCAAGCACTGGCCCGGTGCACGTGGGTGAGCAGCCTGCCCCTCCCTCCCGACAAACCAACTCCCGCACACACACAATCGCACTCTGGCCATCGAATGACTCCGAATGACTCACTGTGTGTGCTAAGACAGAATCTCCTCAACAAAAAAAGAATTTTTCGAGCGCTCTCGCCTGGTGTGGGCTCGCGCAACCTGGGTGGCGCTCCGGGGCGAGAGACTGCCACACCCACACATCTACTGTGCTACTCATCTGGCCCGTACCTGACATGCATGTAGGTGACGCGGCGGCGGCACTGAGCGCACAGCGAATACCACACCATGGAACGCGGCAGCTGCTCGGTACTCCTCTTGCTCGCAACCGCCTCATTGCTGGTCGCCGGTTCTGCCGTCCACGGCGCCGGCGTCCACGGCGCCGGCGTCGAGCCGCGGTGCCGACGCCACCCAGTGGCAACGCTCCGGCCCTCAAGACGTGCCGCTCTGGCCCTGCGTGGCGGCGCCGACACCGCCGCAGCTAGCGCCAGCAGCAGCAGCCTCTGGGCCTGGTTCCGCGTCCTGCTGCGCGTGGCCTTCCCCGGCAACCCGCCGCGCGAGCGCGCCAGCATTGCGCCGCCGCCGCCGCCACCGTCCGCGCCTCCCGCCTCGGCCAAGTCTGGCGGCAGCGGGAGCAAAGGCTTCACCGCTAAGGGCGTGCGCGGGTCGCGCGCGGCCAAGCCCTCCAAGGGCGGCTCGGTGGTCGCCGTGCACTCCAAGGCGGACTTCGACCGGCAGCTGAGCTCGGCGCGCTCGTCGCAGCTCGTCGTCGCCGACTTCTTCGCGAGCTGGTGCGGGCCGTGCCAGCAGATCGCGCCAAAGTACAAGGAAGCTGGCGGCCGCCCTGCCGCACGTCAAGTTCCCTCAAGGTACTTCCTAGACGCTTCC